CTTGACCTCGTGATCCACCCGCCTCGGCCTCCCAAAGTGCTGGGATTATAGGCTTGAGCCACTGCGCCCGGCCCTAAAAATATTTTCTAATTTCTGTTGTGATTTATTATTTGACCTCCTATTTATTTATTTATTGAGCCAGAGTCTTGCTCTGTCACCCAGGCTGGCATGCGGTGGCGTGATCTCTGCTCACTGCAACCTCTGCCTCCCAGGTTCAAGCGATTCTTCTGTCTCTCAAGTAGTTGGGACTACAGGTGTGTGCCACCATGCCCAGCTAATTTTTGTACTTTTTTGTAGAGGTGGGGTTTTGCCATGTTGCCCAGACTGGTTTTGAACTCCTGGGCTCTAGTGATCCTTCCACCTTGACCTCCCAAAGTACTGGGATTATAGGCATGAACCACTGCACCCAGCCCTAATTGTATTTTGTAGTTCTAGAATTTCTACTTGCCTCTTCTTTTTCTTCTCCAGGGCTTATCACTGCTTATTGTTCTGAGAATGCTTTCTAAGCAGCAAGCTAATAACTTGAGAATGTTATTAGCTGGTACTGTTTGTTTTCCTTCTAAGGTCCTAAGTCAGCCAAAACCAAAATGGAACAAACAAAAAAATCTCAAGGGTATACAGCTTTCAAGGCCTCGCTGGCAAACAGTGAAATTGGGACATCAAATAGATTCTGGAGTCATCTTCAGTGGTTATCCAGGTAAGACATTTCTTTGCATTTTTCCTTTTGAAATGTTGAGGTTGAGATACACAGAAGTACAGAGGGGAAAAAACCCCAAGTCTTAAAAATAATGTCTTCATTTAGAAATATGACTGATGGGGGCTTGGCAGGGGTTACTAGGATCTGAAAGAGGTTGAGTTTCATTTTCCAGCCCAACTGTCCACATTTAGAACTGACAACATTCATGAACTAAGTCAACATCCACCAAAAATAACATAAGATAATGCTTACTGTTTTGGAAGATGAAAATGACACACACAGACCTCACCCACCAATCTCTAAGCTGGGACAACAAATGCTTGCATTTAAACTTCCCTAAAATGTCAAATTAGCATATTCTTTCCCTCAATGTAAAGTTTCAATAAACTTGACTAAATCTGCCGTTATTTTAAAAACCTTACAAAAGATGTATTTAAATGCTTGAAGAAATTAACTTTAGGCCGGGTGTGGTGGCTGTGGCTCTTGTCTGTAATCCCAGCACTTTGGGAGGCCAAGGCAGGTGGATCACCTGAGGTCAGGAGTTGGAGACCAGCCTGACCAACATGGTGAAACCCCGTCTCTACTAAAAATATAAAATTAGGCAGGCATGGTGGCACATGCCTGTAATCCCAGGTACTCAGGAGGCTGAGGCAGGAGAATTGCTTGAACCTGGGAGGTGGAGGTTGCAGTGAGATGAGGTTGTGCCATTGCACTCCAGCCTGGACGACAGAGTGAGACTGTCTCAAAAAAAGAAACCAATCTTGTTTCACTATTATCTGCTTTCATTTCTCCTTCCCTCACTGGAGTATTTAAAGCAAATGCCAAACATGAATTTTCATCCACAAAC